TTGATAAAACTTATTTGAAACTATTTCCATTTATGTAGTTTCGTGGTTTTTGTTTTTGCTCGTCCTTGTTGTATATATATATATATATATATATAGATCTAGAATTCGCCTCAGTGCTTTCATAGTAGGGAAGTTAAGGCCAAGGAGAGGAACATTGTTTCCGCCTGTGATTGTGGTTGGAACGAAACTTTGTGCATTTAGCCTGTCACTGGCGTTGTAGTATTCTGTACAAGCTAAGAAAATTAATTTCGAATAATAAGTAACATTCTGAGCTGTAAGTCGTCGTCGACTTTATAATTGAAATTCGTCACGTGTGTCATTTGCATAAATAACATTTACTTTTGTTTTGAAATTATTTTTCATATTGCATTTGATGTTTATAAAACAAAATCTTTTTTTTATGTATACATTTATGTTTAAAGAAAAAAAAAAACCCAATTGGCAGGAAAGTGGAGTCTTGCATAAGGTGCTATATTTTCTCTATTATTCAGTATTCAAAGGATGTAACTCACAAACTATTTACGTATTTTGGTGTATTTTCCTGGAAATTTTCAAACTAAATTTTAAAGCTTTTTAACATTTTAGTGCAAAAGCGAACGGGAAATTAAGGCTTTTAGTTACTTGCCAATTGAAGCAACATTTTTACACAGTGTATAACTGTATTTGAAATTGTACGTGAATCGAGAAAATCAGCGGTGAGAGATAAAACGATTTCATCAATTCAGTGGTAATTCGAAAAAAATAAAAAAAATTTTCAAAAAGCAACGACATTCGAATGGAAAATAACATAACGATATTGAGTACACCTGAAAAGGACTGTACATAAAAGTTTAGATGCTTTTTTTTTATATTGATTGGATGTGCTTTCATTTAAAAATTGAGTCAATTTGCCAATTCTCCAATACATATATATATATATGAAAACATATATACAATAGAAATGAAAATTTTTGTCATCGAAAAAAGATTTAACTTTTAATTATTTAAAAACTACTATCAATTTTAATGTCTATGGTTACAATATATATGGTATAGATGAAAATAACGGAAATTCACGTATACAGAGAAGGCGAGCAATGGTAAACAAAATAAGCACCACATTTGCGCTGAACAGAAGCAATAAGCGCGCGAGGATCAATGTTGCCGCAGCAATTCAACCGGCCAGAAGCATTATTCAAATAATACCATCATTTATGCGACCAACGAATTCACTACGAGTACCAAACTCGATCCTGACAAAGAGCAAAAGTTCATCGCACCATTTGCAACCTTTTTTTTCCATTTTACTTTTTGGAATAATCATCTTTTAATCTTAAATAGAAAAAAAAAAATTTCAATTTTACATAGTACATGTGAAATATAATTTATTTATAAATAAATGATAGAGATTAATTAAATTAAAAACAATGTAAAATAATATTTTTCATAACGCGGTGCAAAAAAGAGGCACTTTTTTAGCACGCCGTGCTAAAAAGTGCGTTTTTTTGCACCTTGTCATGAAAAGTATCGTTCGTAACTTGTGTTAATATTTGCAGATTTTTGAAAAAGTGTTTTTTTTGGTACAAGCTGTAGGCAAAGCTTCGCTTCGCCTACAGCTCGTCCCAAAAAAAACACTTTTTCAAAAATCTGCAAATATTCACACTCGTTACGAAATATACTATTAATAAAGAAGATTAAAAAAAAATTTTAAAGCTTTATGAATTCAATGGAAAAGTCAGTTTAAAGGATGAAGCATTGTATTTTTATGAAAATAATTTTCTCTATTATTACTAAAATGTATATATAGTGACCGTTGGTATAGCAAAGAGGGTTATCATCGTTAATAGTTCTTTGTTTTCCTTGTTACCGTCGTTCTTTCATACAATTCATATGATTTCATCGTGTTCAGAGGTGGTGCCCTCGGCACACAAGACGACGTTAACGAAGTGAAAAGGAAGATAAAACATAATGCCCGCGTAATCCGACAAACGTCCGGGGCGTTAAATTCAATGAAAATCAGATTTTCACACTTTTTTGTCTCATAATTTTTCATTTTTATCACGCCAAGTTGCCTAGAGATGCTTCATTTTAATTTTAAAATTCTCCTGAATAAAGAGACGTATTATTTTATTTCAGAGGGAGAAAAAAAAAAAAATTTCAAAAAATATAATATATTCTGACAATTTTTAGTTTAATGAAAATTTAAATTATAATTCTATATTATATGAAGAATAATAATTTTTAGATTTTCATTACTTAGAAATGTCGTATAATATTTGATTTTCTGGAATTTCACAGATGGTGGCCCTTTTTCCGAATTAACGAATTGGACAATCCCTTTAAAGTGCAGGGGGCACTAAAATCAATTGGAAGATATTTCGAAGACTCAGACTGATCGAATCTATAGAGAATCGTTAGTCATGAGTTTTCATTGGATCGAATCCTATTACTTACAGTCTGCTTCAATATTTTAAAGGACTATTTTAGTTGCTTTCAAAATGAAGAGATAACGAAATTTTATAGTTAATTATAGAAAATATAGTTCTCGTGATGAATTTCTTTAGTGTAACAATTATTAATAAAGGTTTACGATTACAATAATCGTCAGCAAACTTTATGGCAAATCTTTGATATTGTTGTATAATATATACAAAAGTCTATATACCTCGATATACATATATACAGCATTGAACAGAATATACCAAAATTATCTTGTATGCATCTTTCTCGAGCAAAATGAGATAAACTTGTCGGGGCGCATAAGTTCTATTTACCAGGAAGTTCTCAACTCCCATAATGATACGACATTGCAATTTCAAACTATAGTTTTCAATAGAAAATGTATACTCAATGCAAAACGTATGTTTCGTACCCAACAGTTTTCTATTGTCCCTGTTTCCAGTTCTATAAATGTAGTTTCCTCCATCGATTTTCAATTTCTGTCTCAATTTGTAGATATTCGATAGAGCAACAAAAAAAAAATATTGCAAAATTCTTCAACTATTTACAAGAATTGACTTTAAATATTAATACTTTAGAATATAAATCTCATTAAGGATGGTAAACAAATTTTAATTGAGATAAAATCATTTTATTAGTAAAATTAATTTCACTTACTGTTGAATAATTATAAATATGTAAATAAATTTATTTCTATGAAAGAAAAATTTATACTTTATCACAAAGTATGGAGATCACGTGGTATGTTTTAATCACGCGATCTACTAGTTTTCATAAAATGTGTGTTGCATTTATATACACTGGCTTGAGTTCTTCACGCTAGATCACGTGTGTAAGCTTCCTTATTCGCTAGCACGTCCAATAAACGGCGCTTTGTACCTTATCGCGGAAACATTGAAAGCCTAAGCGTTAAACGTGCTTAACCACAAGTATATGAAGGGAGAAAATAGAACGTCTCGTTTCACAACTTAATAAAAAGATTTTATAATGAAACGTCAGACTTGCTGTTAACTATACAGTACACTTGTCAGTCAATTTTTTAAATACAATTTTAATTTAATATAATGGTTCTCCATGCAAAATGAAGAATTTTTTTTTTATTAAATTGATGTGCTTACAAGGATCCAAATTGACAAAAAAAGTGTATCGCGAGCACTGGACTTGAATATTATTCTTTATAGGCATTATCTCAAAATAATTTATCTGTCACTGAGAGTTGTCATTTGTCTTTTTTGTACAAAGTCATCACTTGTCTAAATTTGCCAGAAAGCAAAGGATAGTAATAACTTTGTACGAAAAAAGACAAGTGACAACTCACTAGTACCAATTATTATTTTTTTTCGTGATTCATAAAGACAAGTGATGACTTTATTATTTGGAGGACAAGTGACAACTCTGCTACAAATGATCATTAGCAATAAAAATCAGTGATGATTTTATACGAGAAAGACAACTTTCTATGAATAATTTGGAGATATTGACAATTATTTTTATTTCTAAAATATTTACAAAAGTAAAATAATCTGATCCTAAAAGTAGAGAAATATTTTAGTTTTCTAAATTCCATCAGTGGAAAGTAAAGTTCATTTTCCAATTCTCGATGTTCTCTCAGCTGTACAAGAGAGAAGCTTAACTGAACGACCTCGTTAGTGTCAAAGGTACTTATACGTTCGATGCATTTATCCGACGTCAAATAAATAGACGTAACTGCACCAGAGCTTCTACTTTTATATATATATATATAAAGTGTACTATTAGAATGTTAAGCAAAAAAATAAAGATTAAGATGAACCGTTTCTTTGATAATTCCACCAAGACCTTTAATTTTACTTCTAGAAAATAGAGACAAGAAATACCAAATTGCGTATAATTGGTTCTAATTGAATTTGACTTAAAGAACTTTCCAATCTATTTCTTAAGACTTCTTTATTTTTTGATTGAGGAACAAGGTGATAAAAACGACCGCCTTTGCAGTTTCACTTGGGATTAGATTGAGTACGACTGAATCATACTATATATATATATACTTTGTCGAATGCACTATGTTGGTCATTGCTGACGTGTTCGACACGAAAAGGGACTTTCCTTTTTACAGAAAACTTTGTGCAGCAATTAAAAAAAGTCTTTTCTTTATATTACAAATTGAAATCAGAATTTTTGCAATGTTAACAATCTAATATTATCAGTTTGTTGAAAAATTTATTCAATTTACTTTTTTTGGTCTTTTTTTGTTTTAAATATATGTTTCAATTTTTTTAATTCAAAATAAAGAAATATTTAAAAAGCGTATTATATATAAAGATAAATGTTTTAAAAAAAAATAATTTAAAAACTTATTTCTACTTAAATTAAAAAGTTTATTAAAAAAAATTCTTTTGATAAAAATATATTATTAAAAAATTATTCATCTTTCTTCACTTCTTTATGAATAAAATAATGCAAATCATTTAGATTACGTGGAAAAATATTTTTTGTATTACGTGATGTGTTTAAAGCTTTTTGATGTAATCCATTCTGTATAAAATGTCACGTTCATTATATTTTAAAATAAAACAATACTATCAAGTGAGTAATAGGAAAAACAGTTTTTTTTTATGCTTATGAAATATAACAATAATCTTTAATATTATTTTCTTCAACAATACACAGTCATATCAATGAAAAATTTGACAAAATATTTTATAAATATATGATAAGGTATGCATATAAAGTTTCGCGTGCAATTAACAATGTTTCAGTTTAATTCAATATTCGAAACCTTTTTTTTTACTTTTTAATGAAGAATAAAATGTTTGTAAAAGTTGCAATTTTATTAACAGTTTTAATAATTGTTCAATCTGTGCCATTAAAAGGTAAACATTATAACGGTATTAGAATAAATTAAAACTATTCTAATAATAATAATTTTGTAATTTTGTCATACATTTTATTTCTTTCAAAAAATATTGAATATTTAGTAAAAAAAAAAAAAAAAATCAGCTATTACACTTTCTTAAATAAAGCCTGAGAATGAACAATTAAATTTGATTATAGATGGAAAAAATAGCGAAAAGGGAAATTCCCATCAAACATTGCTTAAAAACTCCAAAACAACAAATGAAGAAAATTGTCAGAATAGTCTATTGACAAAAGTGAAAGATTTCTTTAACTGTATAGGTAATTCAATAAAGAATGGATTACAAAAAGTATGCCAATGGATAAAAGGTAAATTATCATTTTACTAATATAATGGAAAACAAATTATAAAAAAATATTAAAATTTTTAATTTTTATAAGAAAAATGCTCCAATTCAACAAGGACAAAAAATAATCAATCAAACAAAAGTAATGACAAAAAGAATATACAGCATAAAGAAAAAGAAACTAAATCTGAAAAGAATCAAAAAGGAACAGCAAATAAAATACATCCTTCCAAATCTGAGAAAAGTAAGAATAAATTTTTATGAGATTCTTTAAAAATTTAATTTCCAAATGAATAATGTAATAATAAACGTACAAAATTATCACTAAAAAGAGTGTGCAATGAAAAACCTAGTAGTCAAGATTCATAAAAGCCACTAAATACAATACTGTTTTATTAATAACAATATTAATATGAAAATCAATTTTAAATTAAATATCTTAGGAAATAAGACAAAATAATTATTCAAAGGATTACAAAAATTTAAAAAAGATGCATATAAATTCCTTATTAGCAATTAACATTATTTTCTTATGCCATCAAATTCAGATGAATCATCTCCGACATCTACAACTATCGAACCTTCTTCAGTTGTTACTGATGCAGCTGCAGGAGACTCTACAACAATCTCTTCTGATGAAAGTGGTACAACAGAAGAAAGTAGTAGTCCACCTTCAGATAAGACCGAAGGTATGGTCTTGTTACATTAATGATATTGTTCAAATCAAGATCAATCATTAATAAAATTTCTAATAAATTAAGAAGAATTAAAATTTAATTAAGCAAATAGATGCGTTATTAGCAATTAACCTTATTTTGTTATGCAATCAAATGCAGATTTGGCTTCAACAACTATCGAACCTTCTGCAGTTAGTACTGATACACCTGCTGAAAAGACTACGACAAACGCTTCTGATAAAAGTGAGACAACAGTAGAAAGTAGTAGTCCAGCTTCAGATAAGACTCAAGGTATGGTTTTGTTAAATTAATTATACTGTTTACATCAACGATTAATTAAATTTCCAATAAATTAAGAATAAATTAAATTCAAGCAAATAGATGCATTATTAGCAATTAAACTTATTTTGTTATGCAATCAAATGCAGATTTGGCTTCAACAACTATCGAACCTTCTGCAGTTAGTACTGATACACCTGCTCAACAGACTACAACAAACGCTTCTGATATAAGTGATACAACAGTAGAGACTAGTAGTCCAGATTCAGATAAGACCCAAGGTAAGGTTTTGTTAAATTAATGATATTGATCAAATCAACATCAATCATTAATTATATTCCCAATAAATTAGGAGAAACAATATTTAAATATATGCAAATAAATGCCTTAGTAACAATTAATCTTATTTTGTGATGCAATAAAATGCAGCTACAGCATCTCCGGCTTCAACAACTATCGAACCTTCTTCAGTTGTTACTGATAGACCTGCACAAAACTCTACATCAACTTCTTCTGATAAAAGTGGTGCAACAGTAGATAGTAGTAGTCCAGTTTCAGAACAGCCCAAAGGTATGGTTTTGTTAAATTAATTATACTATTTACATCAACCATTAATTAAATTTCTAATAAATTAAAAAGAAATTCAATTCAAGCAAATAGATGAATTATAAGTAATTAACATTATTTTGTTATGCAATCAAATGCAGATTCGGCTTCAACAACTATAGAACCTTCTGCAGTTATTACTGACACACCTGCTCAACAGACTACAACAAACGCTTCTGATAAAAGTGAGACATCAGTAGAAAGTAGTACTCCAGCTTTAGATAAGACGCAAGGTATGGTTTTGTTAAATTAATTATATACTGTTTACATCAACATCAACCGTTAATTAAATTTGTCATAAATTAAGAAGAAATTAAATTCAAGCAAATAGATGCATTATTAGCAATTAACAATATTTTGTTATGCAAATAAAATCAGATGCGGCTTCAACAACTATAGAACCTTCTGCAGTTATTACTGATACACCTGCTAAACTGACTACAACAAACGATTCTAATAAAAATGATACAACAGTAGAGACTAGTACTCCAGATTCAGAAGAGACCCAAGGTATAATTTTGTTAAATTAATTATATAGTGTTCAAATCATCATCAATCATTAATTAAATTTCTGTTAAATTAAGAAGAAATTAAATTCAAGCAAATAGATGCGTTATTAGCAATTAACATTATTTTGTTATGCAAATAAAATCAGATGCGGCTTCAACAACTATAGAACCTTCTGCAGTTATGACTGATACACCTGCTCAACTGACTACAACAAACGATTCTAATAAAAATGATACAACAGTAGAGACTAGTACTCCAGATTCAGAAGAGACCCAAGGTATGATTTTGTTAAATTAATTATATACTGTTGAAATCATCATCAACCATTAATTAAATTTCTGTTAAATTAAGAAGAAATTAAATTCAAGCAAGATGCGTTATTAGCAATTAACCTTATTTTGTTATGCAAATAAAATCAGATGCGGCTTCAACAACTATAGAACCTTCTGCAGTTATTACTGATACACCTGCTAAACTGACTACAACAAACGATTCTAATAAAAATGATACAACAGTAGAGACTAGTACTCCAGATTCAGAAGAGACCCAAGGTATGATTTTGTTAAATTAATTATATACTGTTCATATCATCATCAACCATTAATTAAATTTCTGTTAAATTAAGAATAAATTAAATTTAAGCAAATAGATGCATTATTAGCAATTAACAATATTTTGTTATGCAAATAAAATCAGATGCGGCTTCAACAACTATAGAACCTTCTGCAGTTATTACTGATACACCTGCTAAACTGACTACAACAAACGATTCTAATAAAAATGATACAACAGTAGAGACTAGTACTCCAGATTCAGAAGAGACCCAAGGTATGATTTTGTTAAATTAATTATATACTGTTGAAATCATCATCAACCATTAATTAAATTTCTGTTAAATTAAGAAGAAATTAAATTCAAGCAAGATGCGTTATTAGCAATTAACCTTATTTTTGTTATGCAAATAAAATCAGATGCGGATTCAACAACTATAGAACCTTCTGCACTTATAACTGATGCACCTGCTCAACAGACTACAACAAACGCTTCTGATGAAAGTGAGACAACAGTAGAGACTAGTAGTCCAGATGCAGAAAAGACCCAAGGTAAGGTTTTGTTAAATTAATGATTTTGATCAAATCAACATCAATCATTAAGTATATTCCCAATAAATTATGAGACACAATATTTAAATATATGCAAATAAATGTCTTATTAACAATAAATCTTATTTTGTTATGCAATCAAATTCAGATGCATCATCTCCGGCTTTGACAAATATCGATCCTTCTGCAGTTGTTAAAGATGCAATTGCATTAGTCTCTACAACAAACGATTCTAATAAAAATGATACAACAGTAGATAGTAGTAGTCCAAATTCAGAAGATACCCAAGGTATGATTTTGTTAAATTAATTATATACTGTTCAAATCATCATCAACCATTAATTAAATTTCTGTTAAATTAAGAAGAAATTAAATTCAAGCAAGATGCGTTATTAGCAATTAACATTATTTTGTTATGCAAATAAAATCAGATGCGGCTTCAACAACTATAGAACCTTCTGCACTTATAACTGATACACATGCTCAACAGACTACAACAAACGCTTCTGATGAAAGTTTGACAACAGTAGAAAGTAGTAGTCCATATTCAGAAATGCCCACAGGTATGGTTTTGTTAAATTATTGATATTTATGAAATCATCATCAATTGTTAATTATATAAATAATAAATTTAGGGGGAAAGTAAATTTAAATATATGCAATTAATTGTCTTATTAACAATTAACCTTATTTTGATATGCAGATGTACCTTCTGTGGCAGCTGAAGGTGACGCTTAATAGAATACAACAAACGTTTGTACTGCAATATATGTGTTAGTATGAATTAGTAATTCTTTTCTATAAAAGCTGACGATATTGCTTATGATTATCAGTTTTATATTTATTCGCTGATTACTATAAATGCTATAATTTAGAACTATTAGAAATATTGTAGTCTGTATGAATAACTGTAGTCTTTTTTTACTTTTTAATAAATAATTTATTATATTGATAGGATTTTTTATCTCCCTTCTCCTAAATTTCGTTTTATTTTTTACAATTATACAAACAAGATTGCATAAAATTTGTTAGGATGACGTTTCACAATTTAAAATGCACATGTCGCTTAGCAGAAAATGAAGAGTTAGAGGTGAAGAGAAATTGCAAAAAATGAGAGATAAAAAAATATTCAATTGAGAAAAAAGAGTACTCGTTGCTTCGTTACAAATGTATCTACGGTTTACAATTGGGATGTTAACCATCGGCCAGCTGTTACATGATGAACGAATTGTACCAGCCGATACTGACATTTCGACCATGTAATTGCCTTGTACTTTCGTGTTTCCATTATTTTATTCATGATCGAGAAAATTATTCTTAAGGGTGAATTAAATATTTAAAAAATTCATTTAAAAATAAAAAAAAATTTTTTTTGAATAATTGATAATTTGCTTTACGCAATTCTATTTTTAATATGAATACAAACGTCATTGTATTTAAAAGATTAAAATAATAAACGAGAATTTAATTCTCAGTTTTGTATATATAATAGATGTTTTTGTTTAATTTTCAATTTAACAATAAATAAATCATATTCTCATTTCTGACAAACTGAAATTAATAAAACCCTGCAGGGTAGTGCTGATAATTAAAAAAAAAACAAACAAACTGACAGTTACAAGTGGAAACAACAATTTGATTATATTTATAAAATTTTAATTATTGAATATCGATTCATGAAGTATAATTGGAAAATAAAAACAATTAAATAGGTTATTAATTTTTTTTTTTTTTTTTTTTAAATTTTTGCGTCCAATGTCATATTTACATGCAATTGTGGGAATTCGATAATGGTAAATGCGACATAAAAGTTAATCACCCCTCCAATACAAAATTGTAACGAAATAGATGAACGCGGCGTAAAATTTGTCGAAATTTGCACTATCCAAAAAGTCGATTTGGCGTTAAAAGCTTTCCACATCAAGTCATAAACTCTATACAATGTTACGTATTGTGTCGTTAAAAATGTTTTACGCTTTGCTGCCAACGCGACATAGAGAGAAATCCATTAGGAAATTACACTCCACAAAATAATTCCAATATTGCTTTATAACTTTTAAAAATCTTTTCAACTTCTTATATTTAAAAGTGAGATTCAAAAATTCATACAAAAAATAAAATCAATATTTATTAAAGGAAAATAAAAATAGTAAAATTGCTATTAATTATATTAGTTTTTAGTTTCGATTGATGAAAAAAACTATATTAAAAAATGTTGAAATTAGAAAAAAGTTCATTGTATCGTTTTAACAACTCACTTTTAATATATTTAATCATGTAATAATAATTTAAAATAATATTGTTTTGAACCATTTTAGTGATGATTATTATCATCTATTATGTTCTCGAATATTTTCTAAAGCGAAAATTTTTGAGTACTCTTAATTCTGAATTGCTCCTTTTGACGTTGGTGAACGAAAATTTCCGAAGTCATATCCCAATGGATTGCGACGCGCAAACTCTGCGGCTTCATCCCACATTTAAAGCTGTAGGAGAGAGAGAAAGCTTTCGAGGTTGTACAGCGGCCTCGGGGCCGACAGGTTTCTACGGGCCGTGCCACCGGCAACCTCGATCTCTCAAATCGTGATTCGTGTGGCGTAAAAACATGTGCTTGCAAAAGCTTCCTGTGAACAATTCCCAAACAGTGTTTTTTTAATATGAATATATATATATATTTGCCATCTCTAATCCAAATAAACAATTTAAATATCAAAATTTTTTTTAACATTACAAATTTTATTTTAAAAAATTACATTTTTTTTCTATAGAGAAGTGAGTGTTTATAATTAATAAAGGGGAATTTTTTATAATGATGATTATTTGATTCGTTTTTTTAAATTCGTTTTTTGTAACTGAATTTAATTGTGCGTAGAGTATAAATCGTATTAATGTCAGAATAAGATATATAAACTGTCTTCTTGTTCATTCAAGGTTTCTTTATTTATCAATTAGCCTTTTGTAATTGAAAGGGCAAGTTTAAGAGAGAAACTGATAAATTTTTCCATTATCAATTGAATGAAAATGGTGAATTTAATTTTTTCAAGATGAAATCATCAATGTTTTCTCATTGATGCTCACAGACCATGGGTGTGTCTCACAATTATTGAGTGGGTGCAAAAAAATTATTTCACAGATTGTGATTTGTGTGTGGGACTTGTACGAATGAGAGAAATAGAGAACGGAATAAACGAAAATGTAGAGAATGATAAAATCGAAAGTGAACCACGTGCTTTGAGCGGTATTTTAGAATATTTACGTTTTGTTGGATTAATGAGAAAATGCGAATTAAAAGAATGATATTTTTAAAAAAGGATATCCATAAACAGTGTCATTGTGATGAAAGGAACCTGCTTATGCGATCAGGCGAATTGCCAAGCGGACGTAGGAAGTTGTAATCAAGGTTAGTTTAGAAGCTTGACCTAGACCACTACATATAAATTGTCTCATAGTTTTGTTAATTATTTTCAATGTGACAAAACATTTTATTTCTTCTTTTAATAATTATTTGATTATATTTAATTAATAATATTTAAATTAATATTTAATTATTTGATGTTAAATTCTCATTTTAAATTTAATATATTTCTAATTTAAAATAATTTTTCTCCTCGTTTTAATTATCAATCATAAAAGAGAAATTAATCTTCCATAATTGGAAATAATTAAATACGTTAATTACCTTATTCAATACTGTAATAATAATGTCATAATAATAATAATTATTATCTCGTTATAAAATAGTAATTCAATATGGATAAAAAAAAACTTTTTTTTTTATTATAAATTTAAATTGTACATTTTATTCCTGGTAAAATTTACAAAAATATCAAATTAAAAGTAGCCTAAAAAAAAGATAATATATTAAAAAGCGGACTATTCTAATATTACGAAAACTAGAAAGCATTATTTTCTTATCACGTTGGTATTTCTACCTTTGCAGTATAAAGTACAACAATAAAATTTATGACTTTACGTGGGTAATATCTACAAACAGTCATAAAGTGTAAAATCATACTATTTACTGACTTTTATGTTTGTTTGTTTGTCATTATTATGCAAGTGCAACTCGTTTTGTTGAATTATTTCATTACGAGTATTAAATTATTTTTTTTGCTTTTAGAAATTATTTTTTATTAAACGAAATACACAAATAATATTTTTCAAATAAAGTCAATTGACTAAACATTATGAGGAAGAGGGATTAATGAGAATTTAATCAAATGAAATGAAAAAATATGAATTAACAAAGACTTTTAGTTGTAAATGCAATTCTATGATAGTAAAATTTATTGGAGGTAATTCGTAATCAAATTTTTATTTATTTAAATAGAAACCAAAAAAATTTTAATTCACTCAAAAATTTTATGTTTTTTTGAAATGAGATCCAATTATTAATTGATTAAAGTATTAATTATATTTGTTTTTTTTATTTAACGTATGATTGTACTGGATTTAATTAATTTCAATAGCTCAGAAATTCACCAAAGAATATTTATATTTCGAATATATATTCCAAAAATGATAAATCTAATAATTAATTTATTAAAAAATTAATTATTATTTGTTTTTTTAATTTAACGTATGATTGTATTGGCTTTAATTAATTTCAATAGCTCAGAAATTCACCAAAAAATATTTACAAACTGTCCGATGTTTACACTAGCTTGGTCGAACTAGAACTGAATTATCCCATCGAACACCACTGAAAGAAAAAGCAGATTATTTTTTAATAGAACTGTGAAAAAATAAAATGAAGATTTTAAAATAATTAAATAACTAAATAATTATCATAATATACAAAATTATTATTTACTAAATAATCAAAAATATTTATTTATTAAATATTTTTTTCCCTTAAAAAATTTTGTCGAATGCAGTGAAAGAATCATCAGAAAAGGAAGAAAAGCAAATATATGTATATATATACTGAACACACATTCCATCGAGTGGTTGAAATCTGATTGTGACGTAAATTCTCTTCCATAATGGTAAATTTGGCTGTCTCATTGCTCTCAGTAATGTCGTCTCATTATTAAGGAGAACCCTCTCGTCGAGAATCAAGACCAATCCCTTCTCTATTCTCTTCTTCGTCCTGTTTTCGTTTCCATCATACGCCCTCTCTTCCTATCTATATATAGTCTCATGGTACCTCTCGTGCGATATTAAAACGGATGACAGGGGTTCTAAGAGGTATTAAGGGCTGCTGACCTAGAAGAGGGTTAGACAACAAGGGATGCTGAATCCTGAATTTCCTACTTGTCCCTTGCTCTTTGAATTCCATCTCATTCGAGAATTCACAACGATCTTGTACAGATTACCACAAGTGTGATAAACGATGTCTAAATGCTTTATTAATTAAGCTCAAAATTTATGCACCAAATATATCAAACGATTTTTTTTTTAAATTATTCAATTATGTCTTTGTTTCAATTGTTTATTGATTAATATGTGTTGTTTTAAATTCAAAAAAATAGTTCAAGGGAACAATTATGAAAAAAAAATTTCGATATTTGCAAAAGTTGCACACTTTTGAAAAGCAAGATGACGCTGGGCTAATTACGAATTGATGAATTAAAACAGAAAGTTTATTTGCATAATAATAAGAAGTTGAATACATAACGTCACCTGCTTACTAAATTTTAATTAGAATTTCCATTAAGATGAATTTATAATTAATAACTGGTGGAAATACTAATTTAAATTACTAATTCGCTTTAATAATTTTGGAATATGTTAAAATAGTACAATTTCACGAAAGTTAATATTCATTATAAAAAAAATTTTTAAACTTTTTCTTTTTTGTATTGTAATAATTAGGTTTGCATTAAATAAAATACAATACAGTTTGCAATCAAGAAGTTTCTATATTTAATTATGTAAAAACGTTTTGAAAAACATTTTTCGCTAAAAAAATCTTTGTATCTGAAGTTTCATTTATTGCTTTATTAAACTTGAAGCAACAATCACAGAGGAGAAAGTTGGAAAACTTAAAATTGAAATGAAAATATAAATTGATTTCTATTTGTACACGTAGAATGTCAAGAGTAATATTATTTTTTTTTCTCCTCCTTTAAATACAAGAGAAGTATAAAACTTTTCCTTCTTTTGAAATTGCATTCGTTTTTATGAAAGTATAGAAAAATATTAAATAATGCATTATTGTGATAAAGGAGACATGGCAATATCGAACGCTATAGAATTACAAATGCTTTATAAATCGAATTATTTTTTTAAGGGGGGAACACCAGTTGTAACTTTCGAAAAATCAATTTTTTTTTTTGTGCATTTTCTTAAAGTACACATATTTAGAAATGTGTCTGTAAATTTCAAAGTTGATCCGGTGAAAAATAAATGAGATATACAGAACACTGCATCGGCGCGTCCCGTGGCTTCATACAAGGTGGCCAGCCATAACTGACCCTAACGACAGATGGCCTTTTCCTATGATTTAGAAACGGCAACCACTGCGGAAGAGTTATTATATGGTCCAAGAATCGATGACTCTTTGTAACTTGGAAACAAAATTTCTTCTGAACAAAAAAAAGTAAGTTGAAACTTTGAATGCGTTTTTCTCAAAATGACATTTTCCAAGTCGGTGACCACGATTACTCGAATACCATTAAACCGATTTATTTAAAATTTAGTGTGCTTCATTTACACATATAAGTCTAGTTCGTGATCGAAGGATTTTTTTTTTTTATGCAAAACTTTTTTTTATATAGCTGAAAATCGACTGTATTTTTTTAACGAAAATCATACTTTTGACTTTGACAGGTCGCCATTTTGTCAAATTTTTTTTTTTTTTTAAATCCTTCGATCACGAACTAGATAATCTTATAATAAATGTAAATCAATTTCATTTTTGTATTTCAGACGAAGTATACTTGCAGAATGCTGGTCACCGCAATTCGCCTTTTTTCTTAAGACGCCACTTCAATGGCTCATATCTCCAAAAGTTTTTGTTAAAAAAATTTTTTTTTTCTTTTAAATTACAGCTTTTTACATGTACTTTTAACTAATAAATAGTATTCTTTAAAAAGATTCATTGTTCTTTTGGAAAATATTCTTGAAAAAAGCATTATTTTTTGAGTTACAACTGGTGTTCCCCCCTTAAACTATGGTTAACATTCGTTTTATAAAATAAATTTTTTTCAAAACAAGAAATAATATTTACAAAATATATATTATTTGGAAAAATTTTTAAGTACTTTGGAAAGAAAAAGTAAACAAAAAAAAATTAATTTTCATTAATTACAGTGTCCGTTTACTGAGTCTTTTTGGCATTTTCCATGACATGAATGATAAAGAAAACTTTTCAAGAGGATTTTCCAATATCCCATTGTTGGATTTGAGTCTATCCTGTTTGATGGCATTTTCATCTAAAGAACTCAATTCAATGGAAAAGACTTCCATGTTCAGAATGTAAACAGAGATGAGATTCTTTTATATATATATATCCATATATATCTGAAGCCCTAGGACAGTAAACGGAATCAAAAATACGATGCCTTAGATAAGATCACTGGAAAATTCTGACATGGAACTTCAGAAAAATTGTATTCAAGTTTTTCAATTTCGATTCCACTGACATTCGTTGTGTTCTTTTATTTGTTCATAGTATTTTGTGAAAAATATATTTTTGTTTTTCTATTAACTTTTTAATTAAAGTATATAGTATTTTCAAGAGATTAGTTTCAATTATTAGTGGAATATTTATAATTTTTTAATTAAACAAAGACATGTTTTATTCACCTGACAAACTGTATGTATATATATCGTGTGACTGAATTCTATTGAGCGATGTAATCAACTAGATTTGAAGGGAGGTTAAAGGTATCGGTGTGATTTGTCATTTGGATAAACATGACGAATTCACATCCACGATGTTACATGATCGATTAATGCCCAAACGGAAGTTCATTGCGTTTTGACTAGCGATAATGATGTCGACGCGAGTAATGTTGACGCTAATATCAAATAATTAACAGTTTCACAAAGTCAATTCAAATCAGTATAATAATAATTGTATATAATCCATTCATCTACAATGTAGAAAAGAATGCAAAATTTGCATCTATTGTTTTGCACGAAACATTCATTCTTCGATTATTGTTTGTAAAAATGGAAAATTCCCACAAAAAAAATTATTAAATTATTCTCGTAAAGTTCGATAACAAAAAGTGAAATAAAATTTCATTTCAATTCTGTTCGTAAATTCGATATTTTTCTTTTGATGAATTAATACTATGAGTTTGGTTACGATTATATATATATATTTGCTTTATGAAAAATTATTCACTAGAGTCAAAGAGCGGAAGTATTCATCCCCATAACTTGAACGTGGTGACAAAGTGCTTGAAGTGCTTGAAAAGTCACGACTTCCTCTTGCAAGTTTTCACGCTGAGCAAGCGCGTGAGGCGTGAACGAATTCGCAACCATTCATTCACGTACAACTTTTTTTGCAACTTCATTTCCGTATTTTTTTTTTCGTTTTTTATAAGTACTGTTGTATTTTTTGTTTTATTTCACGAGATTGATGTTGACGACTAAGCGCACACAATTTGAATTTGTTTAATTAATTCTAATAGCTCAGAAATTCACCCAAGAAATTTTTTGTTTTGGATATGTCTTCTCTAAATGGAATCCAATGATTAATTAATCAGAGTATTAATCCTGGGATGAGCAATGGGGATCACGAAGTGTTAGTATTAATCAAATACTCATCCTGTACGGAACTTGGAATAATAAGTAAGAAGGAGTGATGATAGAAATTGTCATAAGGAAAACTCCGAAATAAGGATAGTGTATCGTCATAGGATAGAAAGATGTAAAGTAGGAATTAATTGCAACATTCTTTCTTGTCTAAACCCCAAAATTTTGATTGACCTTTACGGTCATCATCAATTGATATGGGAACATATATAAAATTACATGAAAATCACTTTTGAAAATGACAGATACTATTAAATTGCGTAAGTAGCTGTTTCAAACATTTATAGATGTCATTATTGGATACTCAGTAATGTAGTTCTCTATTCAGTTGGGAATTTGTGTTCATCAGGCCTTATTACAAAGTTCATGGTGGAGTCTATACGGCCTCATCGCTCAGAAGTTCTTGCAGGAGTTTCACATTCAAGAAGTTTACGATTATATTGTACATATATATATATACATATACGCAAAGATACTTGCTGTATCTGTCATGCATAGCATGTGTATGCGGTGCGCGCATTCCATAACTACTGTGAAACTTTGTTTACGAGCAGGGTCGACTGGCATTGAGTTTATTGTTCAGAGGGGTTGATACTGACCGGAAGTGTCTACAGAAGTGTGAAGCAGTATTGATTTACCTTCCTATCAGAAACATTCTGAAAAGCGACACATTGAAATGTGAATTTATAATAAGATACTAGAAGCAATTCCAGTAGAATTTCATAGTTCTCTTTCATATTTGGCAAGAATAATTAATTGCATCTAATAATGTGCAAATCCCACAGCTAATTTATCATGTGCTTATGAGATGTGGATTATTGCGTATATGAGATACATTTGGTGGAGGTCGAGATGTGCTGTATTAGCAATTAGAAACCTTCGATATACGTTGCTTTCATGTTTGCTTTACACAACCCTCATCAACGATGATAGACATTTAACGTTTCTATATACACAGTTGCCATTTACTCAGTTTATAATATTTACTCATATATGCAAAGATTTAATTTACCCTTCTAGACTCATTTAATAAATTTTACTGAACTCGTTAGTCCTGATGAAGGAATTTGAAATTAGATATATTTTTAAAATTCTAGGGTTAAACATTTATCAGAAATGATTTAGTGATGATGAATTGTTTCCTAGCACCTATTTTGGCTAGTTCATCCACTGCATCAGTAAATTTAATTCCACTAGACTTGAATAATATTTGAATTTCTCTTTCTGTTGAAGAAGATCAGCTTTTTCTTTTCACCTCGCCAAAGACAAAGCAGAAAGGATTCCTTTCAAAACGAAAACCAGCTTTACTCCTTCTATCCAAGAGTGACATAGAATGTTCCAGTGACATTTATTAACGCATCTCTTTCTCTAACTATTATTGCTATCTCTGATAACCCAGTAACAAAAAAATAATTACCAACTTCACTCTAAATATTAATTAAATATTTAAACAGCCTAGAATTAATTCAAATAATATATGGTTAGAGAGAAAAAAAAAATTCTATTAAGCTCCTTTTTCTTCAATATATTCCTCTTAACGAAAATGTCTATTTACTCATCTAACGAGCTTGAGTCTGCGTTCGTAGTTTGTTTGCGCAACAGTGAGTACCTAAATTCCAGCCCCCAACAATTTCTACATCAGCCGTAAACTTGCTGAATGATGGTACACATCGGGTTAATTCAGAAACCGCGCTTTAATGAACCGAAACGAAGCCAAAGCACAATAGAAACAGGTAACAGTAATGCACGCATCTCGGATTCTGAGTTCTCTTGCTGGAAACACGATTTGCAAAATCCCTGATAATGTTCGATGTCCATTACGATTTGTTATCAGGATTATATAGACACACTTGTTAAATGAAGTACTACCTAATCCATCACATATTAATTCATTAATCAGTTAATACATTTATGGATTATAATCAGTTTATATTAATTCAAACGAAATTTCCCCAAAAAAATTTAATTTCCTATATATAAACAAAAATTTGATAATTCTTGTCCCACTTTTTTTGTATCAGGTAAAATTTTTTTTTTTTTTTTGACACACGGAATATGTAACTGTATATACGAATTCCTATCTGAAATCAGCTATTATCATTCTCCTGCACTATGTTGTTGCCATTCGTTTTCCATCAGGAAATGCTATCGATTTTTACGATGATACCCTTGGATTTTCACAAATAAAATTGCACCATTAGAATTTTTACGATTCTATGCTTCACCCAACTCTGAAAGCTCACGTATCTCATATAAAAAATATATACACACTATGTTATGAACACAATTCCATTATCGAATATCCGTTCATTTCACATGTTTTCCCTTGTGATGTTTTCATTTTGAAACTATTTTTTAATTAGAAATATTTAGTACAAAAAGCAAGTTAATTATAGTGATTTAAAAAAGTTTTGAAAGAAAAAAATTTGCTGTATTGAATTTGGTTTTTCTTTTTTTTTTTTAGCTACATTGTATATATTAAAAAAAAAAAAAGCTGAGATTATAACCTCTTGCAACTAGGCAGGTGCATCCCTTGAAGTTGAGCTTAGGTAATCCTTGGCAAGCTTAAGGCGCGCTTGCAGCTTATGGAGAATTTGCGACAAGGCTAGTAAGTTACGAGGATTCCATAAGAATTAGACCACACCAGTTCTCTGTGGGCTCTTATCTACTTTCCATAAAGCACAAATAATCCAAGGGACAATAATTTTTCAGATAAGACTTATACTTTTTATCACGCTATTTTTTATTGTACGCACTTTAAAATAATATACATTTTTTCATTAATGAAAAAAAAAAATGTTGTAACATTTTAGGAAAAATCTTCCTTTTAATTGAAATCCGATATGAAAATAAATATGTAAACTTTATAACAGATTCTATCATCAATTAACAAATAGGGGGAGAAAAGAATTTCACAATTATTTTTTTTTTTTTTGAGAAACATAATAGGAATACTTTCTGTGGTATGCGAGTCATTAAATTTAGACGTTCGTACTAAATTCGAAACTCGATAAAAAATGAAAAAAAATAAAGAAACAAAAGAATATGGATTCGGTTGCCTGAAATTAATGGTTCAACTTTTCCGTTATTTGCAGAAACATGAGGATATAAATTCGTAATAAAAACTCGTTTCGTTGTGTCCATGAGAGAGCTTTGTTTACACGTATGTGACATATGGCTTAAATGGATCGTAAGTTTGTATATATTCATGGACGACATTGTTTTATACAACATCTATTTATCGTTATTGAAATATTAATTATTTTATATAGTTCCAAAAATTTGAGAAATATGATATTTTATTTATTTCACAAAAAGAAATATAACATTGATAAATAATCATTGATTTAGTCTAGAAATTTAGCAAGTGTTTTAATAGTTCTATTTTTCGCCACGGCGCTAGTAGTCCTTTGGTTCCATGAATTTTTTTCTCGTGTGTATTAATTCAATAAAATTTTCTTTTTTTTCATTATATATTAGAACCATAATGTATAAAATTATAATCTTCAATTAATTTCATTGGAAATTTTGTAGATTTTCACATGGTACATTATATTCTGGAGGGCTTAATAAATGTTTAAAAGCTGTAACTATATTTGGACTATTACATGATTTTAAAGCCCTTAAGAAACAAAATTTAGGCTCAAGATTATCACTGAAATAATATTGTATAATTTTTTTTAGAAAATAAATGGAATTTAAATAAAAGAATAATTATTAATTAATTAATATAAATAATTACATTTTATTTATGTACTTACTCGCAATTACCAAATCGAGGTACCAATCCTGCCAATAAAAAAAAGAATAAAGTATCTTCAGTTTCTACTTTTTGTTCAAGACATTCAAACATTTGTTGTGATATGTTATTTAAACAATTACCGTCATCATGTGTTAGTAGATTTTCTATAATTAAAAATTAAAAACAAAAATTAGTCATATTCTAAAATAAGCTAGAAATTAATTCCAGTAATGAAAAATTATATATATATTAATAACTTTTAATTAAAAAAAAATAATAAAAATGAAAAATTACTTACGATATCTTATTCTTTTAGCAATCTCGGTACAAACGCTTTGCATTAAATTCCACCTATCAAAGGATTTTAATGAAATATTGTCTGGAAAACAATTTTCCAATTCTCTACTAATATTAAACACATTTTGCCATATAATTCTAGCATAATTATTGTCTTCTTCTAATGTATGATTTCTTTTTGTTGGATGAAGTAAGGCAATTACATTGTTAATTTTTTCTTTGTATGCATACAATTTGATGAAAATTTCATTTTCAACCAAACATACTTGATTTAAATTCTTTAATTTTAAATTTAGTACTTCAGCAACAATATCTGATGGACTTTCTTTGAAGTCTAATTGATCTATGCCAAAAATAATTAAATTGAATTTTTTTTAAACTTTTAGTTAATTTCAATTAAAATTTTGAATTTCTAAATCTCTTACCTATTAATTGATGGAATTCATCAGATTTAATAGAATTTGAAACTACTGACTTCGCACATGAAAAAGCTAAATTGAAATAGTTATATTATTTAATTAAGAAATAATAATTTCTATTTTAATACATGGGAATAAATACATGGAAATTAAAAAATAATTATCAATTAAAGTATGAAAAATATTAAAATATGTACTTACAAGTCAATGTCAAGATAAAAAACGGTAATATACGCATTTTTTGTTTAAAAAGTATTATTTAATAAAATAAAATGTCAAATGCGATCAATTTATATAAATAAATTGACTAAAATTTACACGTGTCATTTAAATTGAGAAAAATATTTTAATTTCAAATTAATTTAAATAACAAATAAAAATTTGAATATAAGATGTTGAAATTTTATATTCAAACATTTTATCAGTTTATATTATGTAAATTCTAATACATCAAATTTTTATAATGTTGACAGTACTTAATAATAATTTTATTAATTAATAGTGAAAATTTCTTATCGTTTAAATAAATAGTAAATATTTTATTTACATATTGAATCTAAATTAAATCGATAAATTTTACTTTTATCATAGATAATTCTGAAAACATGGATTTTAGAAAACTTTAAAAATTTTGGTTTATTGATTACGCTATACTTATGGAATCTCATCTAATATTTGCCATTAATATTTTGAAAAAGAGACAAAAAAAAAAAAATAGAAAGAAAATTGAATATTTCATTTTCTCAAACTTTCAGTTAGGTGGAGATAAGCCGACTCGTGGAAAATAAGGAAAACTTAGAGGGAAAGTTGAGGGGGATTATGCAAGCTCGCATTGTGTTAGACCACAGCTTGGAGAGTTTTGCATGATTCAACAACATCGCAGGACGGTCACCAAGCTTTGGCGATGCATACTGCGGGTTCTAAGTTTCGCCAATTTCATTCATAAATCAGCTGGAATTAAACCGCAGTGCGGGGGCAAAATGTCTGATGCGCTTTTCCCTTTAAAATGCATGTGTATTTTGGGTAGTTAAGGGTAGAAAATAGTGAATGTATAAGAGAAATGAGAATGGGGGCGAAAAAATATAGAAGCTTCCGGAAAAAACGACTTCGCCATTAACGTATATATATATATATATATATACGATAGTGGGCACAAACGCAGCGGAATCGTTTCAGGCTCTTCAGAGATCGATTCGTTTGATTTTTCCCTTTGTTTCTATTTTTGCCTGGCTTGCACTATAAAAGCCCGTCGTTCAATTCGCAGCTATTATGCCCACCTCTTTTCTAACTGTCGGTCCGAATTTATCGAGCATCGACGGTTCCACGCGAGAAGATATCGATTTTTCGTGTGTCGGTTCGCTGCGTACGTGTTTTGCAAACGCTTTAAAGAAATATATTACACTGCACTTAACACCCCCTTGAAAAATATATATATATAGAGAGAGAGAGAGAGCCGCTCCTTCATTTCACTTGGGCGCGAGCAACTGCACCTTTAGACGTAAATCGATACCAAAGAGAGAAAACCTTTACTTTACTTTTATAGACTACAATTTTCAAATAATCACAATCATGAAAATTAATTGCCTTTGTTTACATTTATAGATCTCATCTATTTTAAACGAAAACCAAACTAATTTGATTTTATAATTAAAACAGAAGGGGGGAAAAAAAAAACAGTAGAAGCGAAAAGTAATTAATTCATTGTCAATCTCAAATTGTATATTAATTGACGCAACACGAAAATGTACTCTTCATTACTAATTAAGCCGGATGCAAAGTGAGAGCCTTCTCTAATTCGGTTTTATTACGCAGATGATGCAGGAATCATATCAATAAAGGATGAATAATTAATAATAGGGAGGGACTGAAAATATGGATTTTGTTTATTATTAAAATCCATTGAAATGGTTAATGTTCGAATATGGTTAAGTTAGAGATATATATGTTTAAATGAACTATTACTATTCCCTAATTAGATTTTGGTAGACAAGAAAAGAAAGGATAATGTCTAGTAAAAGCAGATTTGGAGAAGACGTATTCGAAACAAAAACTTCATGGGTGGATTTCTGAGCTATTAGAATTAATTAAACCCAGTGCAATCATACATTGAATTAAAATAATAAATGCTGATTAATTCTTCAATAATCATTGAATTTCTTAAAGCATTTTTATCCTTACACCAAATTTTTCGTGATATGTAATTATTTAGTTTTCTGCAATTATAGAGTTTTTGAGCTAGTTTATAAAATTAAATTCATTATTAAATTTTTGTCACTATGAGATTCTTTATACTCTCGAACATTAATGATCACCGCAAAACACGCAACGTAGACTATAATCCAATGTGCTGACATATTATGTTACCGGATTACCTCAACGTCGACAAATTGTTATTGTCCTTAATTCCGGGATTTTATAATTAATTTAATTAAAGGATTTCCATGGCTCAATTGGATATTAATTTTTTTATTTCACATAATAAGTATTTCTTTATGCATTTTTTTTTAATTTGTTAAAGATTTTTCAATTGAGGATTTTTAAACTACTCGTTACGAAGAGAAATTCTGATAAGAGAAATTCAAAAGGGGGTAAACTTGTATAGGTACCACTTGCTATAATGCAGTCTCATTTTCAAGCTTAAGTGCATTTCCTCCCACTTTAATCTTCCTGCATCTTCATCTCACTTCTCGAATGATATACCTTGCTAAAGTGTCAAAGTTTATAGGTGGTAAGTTACTTAAGAGGTTTAACCTGCCCTCCTAAGACTGGTCTGTTAAAGACGATCTATTGTTTCTCAGAATATTTATTGTATAAATTTTCCTTTTGAAAATAAAAAAAAAATCTTTATATGAAAATCAATTTCTAGCTGCAAAACAATCTTTTTCACCATTAGGGGATTTGTGAAAAAAAAGACACCACAAAAATTGCTACCGTAAACTGTGAGAAACGAGATTTCAGAGAAAATGTGTGTGTGTATATATAGTGCTTCCGGTCGATTGGTTGGATGAAAAGCGGATGGGTCCATTTCGAAAATATGGCAGCAGTAATATGACGTAGCACTCAGGCAAATGATCGAAGCGTTTGCTTCGTACATGCACTCTCCCCTTTCGTACACCGCGAATTTTCCAGCTTTTTTTTTTTTTTTCTAGTTTCCCAAATGGACGTTCTGTCATTCTTCAGCGAAAATCGTAAAACAGTTGACTGCATTGCGAGAAACGACAACGATGCATTTTTCAAAAGCACAAACCCCCTACACAATTTTAGCAGCACACAGTCAATAAAGTTTTAAATCGAAATACTTTAGCTTTTAACATTTATTTTGTTCAGCGTCACCTAGAATACATAAATATTGCATTTAAATGTCAAAATTTTACATATGCAATTGCATGAGAGAAAGCATAAAATATTGGAGCCTAGTTGATTTTTTGAAAGAAAAATAAAAGAAATCTGTCAGTGAAAATTCGGCCACATATATCTAAAAAAAAAATCCCCAAATGGTCTGCGGAAATTGCAAAGAGTGCACATTTCATTTTTTTTAAGGTTCATTTTTACATTCTTTTTCATCACGAATACGATTCCATTCTAAAACTTTCAGCTGCGCGTCAAGCTGATTTTACAATGTTTCGCCCCCGTCAAAGGGTACATCGTTGGATGGTTGATACCAATGCAGGCCGTTTATTTCGTTGATCAAAGGCGTCATTCCACATGCTCAACCACATATTCACTTTTACGACTTACCCCACTATAGAATACCCCGACTCGTATCACCATTGCTTTTGCGAATCACGTACTCGACCGCATTTCCGGACACCACCGTATTTTTCCGTGAGGGCCGAAAGCTGCTTGGACTACAAATTTTTTTTGACCTTATTCTTCTTTTATTAGAACATTTGGATATTTTTAAATCAATCCTAACACTCTAGAATTTTTAATAAATATTTGTTAATTTTATTTTGATAAAAAAAAAATTTGAAACCCTCAACAGTTTTGATTAGATGTTCAAAAATTTATTTCGTTCTTTTTTTTAATTCTGCAGCTCTATTCTCCTCGACCACTTAATTTCTACTCTATTCCCGGCCATTTCATTCGCGTTTGGTATCCCAACTCTCTGTTAGGATGCATATTCATTTTATTTCTCCAGCCTCGTTCCAGCCTCATTTATTCTTCCGACTACGAAAGATAAACATTGCGAGGTTTTCACGAGCAGCTGAATCGTCGACGTCTACCAACTTCTTCTCTTTTCTGCATCTTACTTTTTTCACCCATACCATTTTATTTTTTTTTGTTTTCAGCGGAGAATTAAACATGTCCTGTATGTATAATAGTCAACTTAAAAATTTTCCCTCACTTTTTTCTATTTCTAAAGAATGAGAAATAGAATTAAGTGAAAGTAATTTTTCATAATTTATTTTTTTGCATAAATAAAAAGAAATTATTTGGAAAAATAATTTTTTAATAACCGGCTCATAAATCAGGCGATTAAGATATTTTTATTCTTCACTATTGTGAATTTTTTTTTCTTTGCTTCGTAAATTAACATAACAAATCTGAACACAAAAAACTATGCATTCAGAGTGTTTCATTTTTTTTTTTGAGGGTAGTAAAAAATTGTTTTCTAGAAGAAATTTACACCAGGAGGTAAAAAAATAAATATTATTCTAATTTGCAAGTAAAATTATACAAATATAATTGAGGATGCATAATATATGAGTAGAAGCGTAGAATCCATGTATGGTACATGTTATTTGAGAATGCATGGAATGAGCACAAGTGGCCGGGGTTGTTTGGCAAATGAATAGAAAACGTGTGTTCGTGTATTTAAGTGACTGGAAGTTTGCACTTGTAGGAGTGTCAAATTGGCACTTAAGCAAGTACTTACTGATATAATAAAATGCATTACCTTATTCTAAAATTATTGTTAGTAAAATTAATTTAATTTTGTAACTTTATAGAGACATTACAAAAAATTAATGGTTTTTTTGTAAAAATTAGCAAAAGAATTTAACATAATAATTAGAGAAGGTAATTTAATTTCCAATGCAATTGATAATAATTTATCCAGATTTGTCTCAACATTACGAAGACCTGAATTCTAACGGTAACTTATATGTAATAAGTTATATTATTTGGTTGCAAATTCACCATTACTTCTTCTTTTCTTCAATGATTTAGCAAGAGCATCAGCTCTCTCGAGTATTTTAAATAATATCCTAAATTGATTCTTGCAACAAATTTTTCCGCATTACACTTTAAAATATTGTCGGTTATAAAATTGCTTTAAGAAAAGATTTTCTTTAACATACAATTCAACCAAGCTTCCCATACAACCTAGTGAGAGTTTTAAAGCATAAATCTTGGAAAATATGATGTTAGTATAAGAGATAGCAGAAGAACGTGAAGCTCGTATCGAGGCAGTGAATGTAAACACGGGTCTGCACTTACGGAAAGAAATGGTTTGAAGTAAAAAGGGAGGGATTAGGAAAAAAAAGAAGCTATAGGGTCGTGCACGAAGGCGTGGATATTATAGAAACGGATGAATTCCTACCGAGAGAGAGAGAGAATCCTATACACTATGGGATTCCAATTCTTTTGGTTATAAACCGAAGGAATATTCTCGTTCTGATCCGCAAGGAGAAACGTTATCGAAAACAGAATCCACTCTTAGAATTTCGAATCAAACTTGATATATTCATGAGGACCATTAAAGCCAGAAGAGCAAGACATAGATAAGATTCGTGCTTTTTATTCATTTCTAATTCTTTGCCAAAGGGAGTTCAGCATTTTTAAAGGGGGCAAAAAATGTTCTTGGATTTAAAATTTTAAAAATGTATTATGAAAAAATTACAACAAAATGATAATTATTTTGCTAAGTAGCAGTATGATTTTAGAAGCATTAGTGAAATGTTCATAACTTCGAAAGGTTATGGAGAAATAGTTATAAACGTTTTATTTTTTTTGTGTCGCATCGTTTTGGCATCGCAGTCAGGTAATAATGCCAAACAGAATACTTAACGAGGGGTAGAAGACGAAGTTTAAAGTTTAGGACGTCTTTAAGGCCTTCCGTTGTTTACCAGTTAGAGCTGTTATCAACAAGAGGCTATCGAGAAGTTCGGTATTCCGCTTCGGCGAATGGAATACTAACGACTGAGACAAGACCTGCATTGTCGATGAAATCGGAAAGGATCCTCCAGGAAAGTTCCCTAAACGACCATTTCGAAATCTGTTTTCAATTAAGGTCACCTACACCTCCATCCACTTTTCTACACCAGGATATTGCAACCAATCGCAATTTCGTAATTTACCTATACCGGAACATCAGTTTTTCATTTTACCACAAATTCATAAATTATGTATTGAAATTAATTTTCATTCGGGAAATTATTAAACAATTTAGTAATTTTATTTTAATTGTCTTTCAAAAACATTTTTTTTAATTAAAATTCTACTATGTTTAGAATTTTTGATATGAGTGTAAAAAAATGTACACATCCACAGAACGCAAATTTGCAATGAAAATGTATGCTTTCAACATCAACTTGCAGATTTGCATTTGCTTTTGGAGTTATAATTTATTTACCGATAAAAGCATTCACTGCCTAATTAATAATTCACCAGAATGGAAGTAACCCTGAAAAGAGATGAGTGTTGGCAAATCTTATTTGTATCCTTTTAGATCTGTTATAAAATTAAAATAGAACATTGAAAGCAGAAATGGAAATATATCATCCAATTTTTCATAAAGTTATTTTATTAATTTTTTCTAGGCTCACTCTAATGATTTATAATTTATCTCATGTTAAATTCACTTGATATTCACTAACGTTTGGTAGAACATATTTTAGAAGCTTTTTCCACGAATTACAAAATGAAATTGTTAATAAAATAGAATAATATTATGATTATCTTTTTTAGAAAAATGTTCGTTAAATAAAATAAATGGTGTGTGGCAGTATTGCAAATTTTCTGCAATTGGTTTCGAACTTAAGTGAATAAAAATAAATAAAATAACAAGATTAATATTAAAATTGATTATCTTTATTTATAAAAAAATGTTCGTTAAATAAAATAAACGGTGTGTGCAGTTTTGCAAATTTTCTGCAATTGGTTTCGGACTTAAGTGAATAAAAATAAATAAAATGACAAGATTAATATTAAAATTCATTATCTTTATTAGAAAAATTTTCGTTAAATTAAAAAAATTATTTGTGGCAGTTTTGCAAATTTTCTGCAATTGGTGTCGGACTTAAGTGTATAAAAATAAATAAAATAACAAGATTAATATAAAAATTTATTATCTTTATTTAGAAAACTGTTCGTTAAATAAAATAAATGGTGCGTGGCAGTTTTGCAAATTTTCTGCAATTGGTTTCGGACTTAAGTGAATAAAAATAAATAAAATGACAAGATTAATATTAAAATTCATTATCTTTATTAGAAAAATTTTCGTTAAATTAAAAAAATTATTTGTGGCAGTTTTGCAAATTTTCTGCAATTGGTGTCGGACTTAAGTGAATAAAAATAAATAAAATAACAAGATTAATATTAAAATTGATTATCTTTATTTAGAAAAAAATGTTCGTTAAATAAAATAAATGGTGTGTGGCAGTTTTGCAAATTTTCTGCAATTGGTTTCGGACTTAATGTAAATACCGTATTTCCTTTAACCCTATTTTGTGTTGTTACTTTTATTGTAATAAATATACATTTTTGTTAATTTTATTATCATTATTAAAACTAAAAAAATAAGATTTGCATTGTCAAAGTAACAGATAATAAATGTTGACATTTTTTTTGTATTTTATTTACAAAATTAAAAATAGGTTAAATATTATCTTGAAATTAATTTTTCTTTGTACTAAAAAATTTGTAAAATTAACTAAGTTTTAAAACTTGAATCAAATACCCAAAGATTTCGTAACGTCTTGAAGCAACTATGATCTAAGGTTGATGTTGGTGTGGGTTGGGGTTGGAAGAATCATTTGCATAGAAATTAAATGCGGATAAGAGGAAAATTGTACACAGTTCCTTGAACTTTAGAAAACTTTCAAGTAACAAACTGTCTCTGATGCTGAAAAATGAATAAATTAATTACAATCTTATGACTGATTTTACTCATTTTCTTTTGGTTTAATTAGAAACATTTTTTTTTAATCTTTTGTAATTATTTATGATTTTTCTAAACAATTGGAAGATATTTTAATTATGCTAGAATAATTAGGATTTGATTTAGCATTGTATTGTAAAGTGAAATTGACGACAATATTCTCAATTCAAATTTATTGGCTTTGGTTGGACTTTTCAATAGGATAGAAACTTTTGAAGTAACAGAATTCATTGATGGTGAACGAACTGATTTCCATTTTAAAGCAGAGAGACCTCGTCTACGCCTAACCAGACAATTGGACAGTTCCACTTTAATTCGTTATCAGACACCACACACACACACCAGCCTAACTTGCATTTACAGTTTTGGAACAAAAAGCACCGAATATCGTAACAAGCCATTTTCAAAGCTTTCTAACATTTCCTCTCCCCTATCCACCTTGCTTTCTTTCGACAAGCCGGTACTTTTTTTGCATAGATTTTTTTTTACCCAAAAGAGCCAATAGTGAAATGGAAAATTGAGTTTTGTCGCTTAGCCGAGTTCCTTTAGTCCTTTATAACAAAGCGTGAAATATGAAATTGCCACAATATGCAGTAAAACGTAGCGAGAGCAGTACCAAGCCCTTATGCTTCAAACAGCCTTCATAACGATCTCGTTCTAATAATCCTCAAGTTAAAGGACATTGTGCTTGACGCTTTTTCGCAAAGTGTGGGGTTGCTGTGAATTCTCTACTTCCGTTCCGCAGAAACGACTTCTTTTACTTCTTTCGGCTCCAACGACGCGAGATTTTTATGATAGCACCTCGCAAGAAATTTTACGATTTTCTTATGTCTTTGGAGATTTCTTTTTTTTTAATTGTAAATAACCCAAGGGATCGTAAATACTTTAATGAAGACTGATCTTCATCCTATCTCTCACAATCTTACCTTCACTTCACTTTCACTTCATTTTCACTTCACTTTCATTTTCACTTCACTTTCATTTTCACTTCACTTTCACTTTCACTAAATTAAAAGTAAAATAAAAACAAAAGTATCACAGATATGTATTTATATTTTCAACGATGTGATGTGACAGAAAAATAATAAAAACAATGCTTTTGTTTGTTTCAGGAAGAATTGCAAAAATTTGACGCGCAATGAAATATTCAATCATTCACATTTCATTGCGATAGGGGTAAGAATAATCTTCATTTATACTTATTGTCAAATAATATAACATTTATAAATAAAAATATTTTTTTGCCTTCATTTATATTATAAGTTTGTCAAATAATGCAAAATCTCACTTTAGAATCTCAATTGTGAAGTGAGCAAAAGTTGAAATTCTTTTCTCGTTTATCATTTATTATCAAAGTTCTTCCCCGGTTTTATGGAGGACTCTCATGGATCACATAAATATGCGTCACTCTTTACGAAAAATTTTTTGAAAGTAGAACGGAAAACTGTCGAGAATAAGGAAGCATCATGTGGACCATGAGAGAGAGAGAGAGAGGGGGGGGTAGAATTCATTTTTTCCCCTTTTTTTGCTCCACACAAAAGATCAGTTGTAAGGGTTTGTAGTTGAAAGAAACGAATACACACACACAGCCAGTGGACGATGAGAACTTTAAAGAAAAAGAAAGTCTCAGAGAGAAAACTCGTTGACGCTCACTGTCACGGAACTTCAAAGAGAGTCCTTACACCAGTTTCGGAAAATGTAACGCGTTTTGTAACAAACTCCACCTCTTCTCATGGAGAACCTTTTAAAATTGCTAAAATGAAAAACTTTCTGACTTTCAATAGACAATTTTCTAGCCTCAAGTTACAAAGAAAAAGTGGGAGGGAAAAAAAGAGACTTGGAAATATTTTGCTCAAGTTGCGGTATGACAATTTAGATTATGTTTAAGAAAAATTATATTATTCCAATTTGTAATTTATATATATAAAATTATTCACAAAATATAAGGCTACAAATTGTTCAAAAACTTATAGCTAATTTAATTTTTTTTTTAAATAGAAAGATAGTAATTTTTCTAGACTTTTATAAAAAGGAAGCAGAGTCACAATCACAAAACATGTTCAAAAAATGATTTATTTCCGTAAACCATTAAGCATTTTTCCCTGTTTCATTTACCATCTTTTTGTTCGGACAAGAAATATTTCTGCACAAGATGAAGCGAGACTGAAAAAAAAGAGACCTAATCGCCCTAGCCATTCGTCCAACGCTGATGATCTTTTTGTTGGTTAAAAGTTCCTTTTAACGGCACTTAAATTTTTCCCCCCCTACTTTCTGACCTACATTAGTCAAATATTTACTGACTCAGTGAAATATAAAAAGTGGAAAAGTAACCAACAATTTTTTCTTTACTAAACATATCTTCATCTATTGTCACAATCGTAGTGTTTTACAGTTCCATTTTTCGCCGTGGCGCTAGTAGTAGTCTTTTACTTAAAGTTATTACTAATATATGAATAGAATTCAGAATTTTTCTTTCTATCAGAATTTTAATTCCATTTAAAAAAAATAGCAATAAAAAAAAATTACAATTCGTTAAAATGTTTAAAAGCTCTCGAATTTTATAGGAGCAGTAAAATTATTTTTCGTTGCACATAAACTCGTATATAACATTATTAATTTATTATGAGTTGTAAACTAAATTCTCATTAATCGTGAGGCTTTAAATATTTAATCAACGTAATAAAGTCACTACACTAGGAACAAGTGTTGAACATATTACTCTAAAGTTTTGTTTTGCCAAGCTCAATAATTCACAAATATCAATTATCTGTAGACTCGACATAAACTGGCTTATTTAATACCTTGTTAAGCTTCTAACCGACGTAACTTTCAACATAATGAATTACGTAACTCGAACTCATGTTGAAAGTACTAATCAATCAACTCAAAGTGAAATAATCATATTAATAGAATATCATTTTTGTATCGAATAGCCAAAAAAAAAAAACGATTCTGAAATCAATAGATATTTAAATTCATTTTCTGATCAGTTATTTTGTGATTTAATAAAAAGTGTCACAATATTTCCATATCAAAATAATTTTCATTTATTAAAACCCTACTCAATTAAAGTTGATTTCATGATTTTCAGAGTTTCGTTTATATATTTTCTCGTACAATACAACTTTACGTTGAGGTACATTCGCTTCATCGGAGTGCAACTAAAGTTTCATTCGTGCGTAGAGAAGTTTTATTCTGGAGAAGCACTGGCGGCGGTTCACCCTGAGGCAATGAGAAAATTTGAAGGGTAAGAGGCAAGAGGTGAATAAAATGAGGGGCTTCTGGCGAAAGTACCTCGAACCACCATCGAATCCACATATCCGCTTTCGAGTGCTGCATACAAATGTTCGTCGTAGTTCGACAAGTAGTTTGCAGACTATTTTGTCATATTGAGGGACCAAAAAGGAGCAAAAGTATAGAGAGAGAGAGAGAGACTCAAACAGTTCAAAGTTTTCTTCGTTCTTTACATATATTTTTTTTTCACAAAAAGAAACTGAAATTATTTTAATCATGCTTGAAACATGAGAAAAAAATGATTTTTGTTTCATAATTGTGAAAATAAATACAAGGGAATAATTATTTTGAATAAAACATATATTTGCTTTTTCGCATACGTATTTTATCCTTTCGTTCTTAACATATCCTATTTCGAGCGCAAAAGAAAGACGACCTTGCAACATTGTGAAAGTAAAACTAATGGGTACGTCAAGAGAATTCTGTCGCGGAGGGTGCTTGTGTTTACAGCGACATATCGGATCATATTTTATTTTCCAGTTTCCGCTTCGATCATCACCGCCCAACATTCTAGAGTTGCTTCGGAGTTTAAAATGGCTGTTCTTTTTCTAAAAAAAAAAATATATATAAAACTTGCTGAAAATATAAATAATTGCTGACAATTTTATTTTTACAATCTGATAAATCCGAGTCGCTGTACCAAAAAAAAAAATTCTAATTTTATTACATTGCATATTATTTTTGAACTAAATTATCATTTCAGATATGATAAATTAAAAATTAGATAAAATATTTAAAAATCCATTTTTGTGCATTAATACTATTTTGATGTTATAATAAAGTTTCTCAGATAATGGTGAATTATAAATCATTCTAAGAAACTTTTTGAAGAATTCCAAAATTCTCTACTCCGGAAGAACAAGAAGAAGAAGAAGAAGAAGAAGAATGTAAGATGAACTTAACTGGAATCGCAAGGATGTAAAACATTAATGAGTTCTTGCATATTGAAATGTGAGATTATAACGAGAGGTGGAATAAATATTCTAAAGCGTCACGTGCTCGTGCGATCGCGTTGAAAATAAATCTTAACGAGGGCAGATGCAGAATATTAATTACGGAAGGCAGAGTCCGTGCTATTGGATATTCTGTTCTATTCTACCTCCCCTCTCTATCTCACTCCCCTTTTTTCGCCCTTTCCCTATTTCTCCACCACCTCCTGTAGCAAATAATGAATACGACGTGGCAACAGAATGGAAAGCAGGAAAGAGCTTTACGAAGGGCGTAATAGAATAAAATAAAAACCAATATGTGCGCTTCGTGACGAGAGAAGATTTATATGGTAAAATATGATTCTCTTGATGCGAATTCGTTGAAATTGAAAAAATGACTCGGAAAAAGATAGCATAAACAATAAGCGTTGCCTTCTATATATAGTCACAAGGAAAATTTTTTTAAAATGAAATTTAAAAAACTATAATTACAACAGAAATAGATTAACGTTAGATAAGCCTGATTCTAAAAAAATCTACTCTGTACAAAAAAGATTTGAATTGAAGAATGTCTCCCTAAAATTGACTTATACTACTGTGACGCTACTTTGTATTATCCATGCTACAAGTTGCGTATTCATTCACTTATAACCAAGACGAGTTAAAGAAGAAAGCAAATAACCTAGGATTTAATTGGAAATATTGATCAATCCTTGTAAGGAATAATTTAATAGGGGTGCCAATGAGGGTGTTATTTTCTGCAATAGGACAATCGTTTATGTCCGGAGAATTTCTGAAATTTCTTCTTCGAAATTACGAATACTAACAGCGCTATTGAATATTTCGCTACTTAGTGATTTAAAGCTAGATTCACTGTAAAAAAATTTCTAGCTATTGTACAATGAATTTTAGTAACGCCCTAAAACTTTCTGATGATGTCATCAAGGTTGCTTCTAATACTTTTTCTTTCTGCGTAAATTAATCCAGCTCGCTGATTTAGGTTTAATTAATTTCAATAGCTCAGAAATTCACCAAAAAATATTGACAAAATGTCCAATGCGTACACCAATAGCGGAATTACGAATACCAACAGCGCTACGAATATTCCGCTACTTAGTGATTAAAAGCTAGATTCAGTGTAAAAAATTTCTAGCTAATGTACAATGAATTTTTGTAACGTCCTAAAACTTTCTGATGATGTCATCAAGTTTGCTTCTAATACTTTTTCTTTCTGCGTAAATTAATCCTTCTCGCTGATTTGGATTTAATTAATTTCAATAGCTCAGAAATTCACCAAAAAATATTGACAAAATGTCCAATGTGTACACCAATAGCGGAATTACAATACCAACAGCGCTAGGAATATTCCGCTACTTAGTGATTAAAAGCTAGATTCAGTGTAAAAAATTTTCTAGCTAATGTACAATGAATTTTTGTAACGTCCTAAAACTTCCTGATGATGTCATCAAGGTTGCTTCTAATACTTTTTCTTTCTGCGTAAAATAATCCAGCTCGCTGATTTGGGTTTAATTAATTTCAATAGCTCAGAAATTCACCAAAGAATATTGACAAAATGTCCAATGCGTACACCAATAGCGGAATTACGAATACCAACAGCGCTACGAATATTCCGCTACTTAGTGATTAAAAGCTAGATTAAATGTAAAAAATTTTCTAGATAATGTTTAATGAATTTTTGTAACGTCCTAAAACTTCCTGATGATGTCATCAAGGTTGCTTCTAATACTTTTTCTTTCTGCGTAAATCAATCCAAGTCGTTGATCTCCAATGTAACCTTTTGGTCCACAGTCTGCAACTTTTCTAACTCTCCAACAATTCTATTCTCTTTGATGAACGTCTTCTTGTATGGGAAGCTTCCAATTCTTATAAAGATGTCTTCTTTCTTAATGGATCTTGCATCTGCTACCCTTGTGTACTATGTAATTCAAAATT